TATAACAATATTTATATAGGTCGGGTAACTTTGTCACTGATACTTTTCAAAGTCATAAAAATATTTAAAGGGATGTCCACAATAATAATTCCTTTAAGAATATCGGTTAAGAGATTTTATGATACAGAGCATATAAATTAAATATAAGGCGGGCGCATACGTTTATAGCAGTCTGTTCACAACAGTACGTAATTAAATAGATATAAATCACGTATAATTTCGGTGGTAGTAGCAATTAAGGGGGAAAGGGAAGGGTACTATTGTATCATATATACGGCATACGGAAAATAGGTATATAGGTGGATGAGATAAGGTGAAATTGTATTGTCATATCCTTGCAGGTGGGTCTGTTCTAAATTGTCAACACACAAACTACACAGCACAAGGGAGTGCTGGTAACATATGGTACGTTCATTAGGGATAATTAGGAGGCACTATTACGCCAATCCGCTCGGAGCTAGAACATAGTACTAACATCATACATAGTTCAAACCGATAAGGGTATCTTATTACGTCTTACCCTCGTAGGTCAAAGGTTCATCAAGACCAACGCTGGTCATAACAAATTCGCCAGAGAAGTAGACTACACCCTATCTCTGAGGAATTTAAATAGTAAGAAACACTTACTGTCCCGGTACAGGTAATAAAAAAAAAATACTTTATCTTATTGGTTAGGGGAGGGATACACCTATTCGGGTGTTTTACTTTTATTATTCTCATCTTAGGCCAAGCAAACCTAGCACACACAGCTACAGACGTAACATAAAGACCCAATCGTCAGGTACGTATTAGTCTAAGAATCATACTTACGACACAACATAGGCACTGGCACAATAGTGGTGTATATAAAAAAAAAAAATATATATATATATATATTCTATTTACCACGATATACTTCCTAATTTTGCTCATCATAGAGGTATTCACCTTCGGTTTAAATCATAGGTAGATTCACAATACTCAACCAAATACAAGTAGGGCCTCACCAAGCATGCCTAGTTTACGGTTATAGGTGTTAATTGAGGCCACCTTTCCGCCACAACGCTTCGGTGGCACAGTCATACGTCCAACGCATAGTTAGAGCCCCTATACGGTCCAACGGCTAGCAGCAGCACATCGCCTACCTCGTTATATACGACAACTTACTAATAAGTCACATCAAACCCTTTGTCATTCATATAGGATGTCTCACGCCTCCGACATAGAAGACGTCTCCCCTCCTAGCACGCCAGCTAGACCACCCACCCCTCCAACGGGCCCAACTATAGCCGAAAACCTAGATAGCCCTTGTTCGTTGAGGTCATGGACAATTCCTAAAATCGCTGCAGAACTCAGACGTAGGGGTGTACCATATCCGGCCACGGCTAGGAAAGCCGAGCTATATTGCATTATGATGACAACCAACGACACCCCTCAACCAGGAACCAGCTCACAAGGAAATATGAACGAAACCATAGCAGGCCTGCAAGCCACCATGACATCTATCCTGGCGTCTATTAGTAATATCAGCCAGAGAATGGACAGACTGGAAGCTCCTGAGCCAATTATCGTGGCACCCGATATCAGTCTTACACCTGAGATTGAACACATAGCCGCACAGGGTAATGTGACAGGAGCTCTAATCTCACAAAATCCTACCACTCACATGGTCACACCAGCACATTTGGTACCTCCTAACATTAGGAAAGATATTTTAGAGGGGAAAGACGTCAACCTTATTTCCCTACTGATAGCGTCTCAAGACGTAGTAGACAATAAGACTTATAATTATGGGGACTTGTCAGTGGTGATGAAAGCGAGAGACCCCAGACTAAGTAAAAAATTAACCATACCAGAGTTCGTCCTAGCTTTTGGCATATATAGAGACGTAGTATGCACCGCTTTTCCCCATCGTAGAGAAGAACTTGATTTGTATTTACACAAATTGGTGGATCTGGGACACAAGTACGGTGGCCATACGTTTTTTGATTATCACAAGTCATTTTCGGCAAAAGCAGCGGCAACTTTGGTACAATTCAACATAAGAACCGATTGGAGGCACTTAGATACCGAACTTTTCTGCCGCCATTTTGCCGGCCTTATACCACCATCTTGCGCAATTTGTTCATCAAACACCCACACCACCAATTTGTGCCCAAATGAACCAAGTCTTCCAACTACCAGCTACGCAGTCCCTAGCACCAGTAGCATCGACCAAAGGACATTTAAAGACAAATTAGGTAGGCCAATAGTTTTCCTGGGGAAGGTGCAGATTTGTAACAACTTTAACGCAGGCGGTTGCAGCTTCAGCGCTTGTAGGTTGTTACATGTCTGCACCATCTGCCATAGAGCCTATGCTAAGACGATGTGTCCTAACCGACTGTTCCCCAAGAAATGACTGACGGAAGTCAATGTCGACACGCTAGCCTTTTACCTCAATTCACACCCATCCAGGGACTTAGTACAATTTCTGATCACTGGTTTCACGGAGGGGTTTCACACGGGGTTGGTAGCACTACCATCAGGAACGATTGAATGCAGGAATTTACAATCTGCCACTACTGACCCAGCAACAGTAGACATTCTGTTGCAAACTGAAGTAGGGAATGGTTTCATGTTAGGGCCATTCACACGGCCACCATTCACTTGTTGGAGAACCAGTCCGATAGGAATTGCGTGGGGCAAATACAACAATAAAGCACGGTTAATCATCGATTTGTCAGCCCCTCATTCCAGCACCACACCAAGCCTAAATTCACGTATACCATCGGCTGAGTTCTCTTTACAGTATGCCACAGTAGATAATGCCATACAGGCCATACTGGAAGCAGGGGTGGCAGCTTGGCTAGGAAAAAACGATATTTCAAATGCTTTCAAGCTGCTCCCTTTGCACCCCTCTCTATGGCATCTGCATTGTGTAAGGTGGAAAGGTTTATACTACTTTGCCAACCGGCTGACGTTTGGGGCCAAAAGTAGCCCCAAATTGTTTGATATTTTTGCCGAGACACTGTGTTGGCTACTGTTAAATATCTGCTGTTGTCTAGTAATTATACACTATCTGGACGACTTCCTAACAGTAGAGAAACCTGACACAATACCACACAGCATCAACAAGACAGTCGCATTATTTAAGACATTAGGGGTACCAGTGGCCGAGAAGACAGTGGGCCCCACCACCAGACTAACCTTCCTAGGTATCGAATTAGACTCAACTACCATGAAATCTAGCCTGCCAGCGGACAAAGTTCAGAGAATCCGGGTAGAGGTTGAGTCGTTCCTTGACAAAGGTTTAACGTCGAGGAGGGATCTTCAATCACTCCTGGGTTCAATGAACTTCGCCATGAGAGTTATACCACAGGGACGAGCCTTCATATCACGTCTACTTAGTTTGTTACCCAACTTACCCAACGACGACAGCAGGGTTACCCTGGACATTCAGGCTAGGGCAGATCTGACTATGTGGTACCATTTCCTGTCAGAATGGAATGGGAGAAACTTGTTTATACCACCATTAACATTAAACTCCCCTGTGTTATGGACGGATGCGGCAGGTTACGCAGGTTTTGCAGCCATTTTCGAAGACAGATGGTTCAGGGACGCTTGGCCTAGAGAAGCATTAGGTTTACCCGCGTTCACAAAGACGTCGGCACTATTTGAGATCTACCACATAGTGGCAGCAGCTAAAGTCTGGGTCCACTTATGGGGAGGGAAAGCTGTCAAATGCTACACCGATAACATGGCAGCTTGCGAGATTCTGAACAAAGGCAGGTCTTCTTCACTAACAATCATGAGCCTGGTCAGGAGACTCACATGGTTGGCAGCCACGCAAATTTTTTTCCTGACTTGCATACACGTGCCAGGTCACCACAATTCAGCAGCTGACGCACTATCCCGTTCATAATTACAGGTTTTCAGACAGCTACACCCAACAGCAGAGGAACAGCCAAACAAGGCTCCGCAGTTCAAAGACCTCATCCTGGACCAAAATTACTCATGGTACACGGGAGAGCACTAGCAGAGGCCTCACTTTCACCAAACACTAGACGCACGTACAACCGAGCCTTAATATTATTCAATAAATTTGTGGCAGAATACCTCATCACGAATCTTTATAGGTTAGATACTATGGTGGCCTTCACCTCTTTTTGCCATCTCAACTTGAAACTGGCACACAATACCATAAAACTCTATTTAACTGGAGTACAGCATCACGTAAGCAACACATATCCCAGCATAAAAAACTTCCTGTCAGCACACCCCATTAAAAACATGCTAAAAGGCAGCCAACGCTTAGAAAACCCAAAACCTACTACACGACTACCAATCGATGCTGAGAAATTCAGGGCATTGTCTGACATGTTAGATACCAAACCCTTTGATAATCCCACCAATAACACACTCAAAACAGCCATATACCTGGCATTTTATGGGTTTATGCGTCCCAACGAGCTCACTTTAAGTAACGTCAACAATAAGGGAAATATGCTGTGTGTATCAAACTTAAACAAAATAGGTGATCACTACACCTTGTCAGTAAGACATTCAAAAACTAATCAAATGGGTCCGCCACTCGACATTCAATTTTTTTCCAATGTATTTTATTTTTCAATTTTCAATGGTCATGCAAAGTATAAAAGGGGATTAATTTAGGAGGGGATACACGGAGAGAAAAAGGGGGGGGGGAGGGCGACAATGCAAATACAATGTATCATATTCTTACAAAAGTATCTTTAACAGCTGTACATAGAATAAGATATTAGCCACAAGTCACCAGCTTCTGGATAAATTACATACATTAGTAGTTACATATACATGTTTGCCTGAAACGGTCTAAGGCACTGAATTGTTTCCGTACGCCCTAACTGTAAGACCTCTGGGGCGAGGGGAAAAGAAGGGTGGGGGGATTGGCGAAGTTGAGCTATGGCAGTGAAATTTTGTACTGTATCGTGGTGAAAAGATGTTACATTGGGTAGCACTCTTTACATAGAAGCCCTTGGAAAATATCATGTACATAATCTCAATTACATTTTACCGTACCTATAATCCACCCATCTGCGCCACCTTGTTTCATGTCTACTCTGCCTCTCAGTGATGCGACTTGCCATGCGCTCGTAATTATAAAACGAATCTAGTCTACCTAAAATCTCTGATAGCGTGGGAGCTTGTGTGGATTTCCACTTTTGGGCAATCGCTGTTTTAGTTGCCATGAGGCAGTGGATCATTAAGTAGCTTTCATCTTCGTGGAGGTTGTCTGGGAAGATGTGTAATAAAAAGCATTCTGGTGTCGGAGGTACCCCGATCCCTAGGTTTTTGCAAAAAAGTGTGTGGATGTCTTGCCATAATGATGTGATCTGTGTACATTTCCAAAATATATGGTAAAGGGACCCCTCTTGATTGTGACATCTCCAACATATTTTGTTCGCTCCTGGATATATGTGGGCCAATTTGTTGGGGACCAGGTACCAGCGCATGGTTAGTTTGCAGTACGTTTCCCACTGATTAAGGCTATGTGAGGCCTGCTTTGTTAGCTTCTGAGCCCGATGCCACGTGTCTACTGGGAAATGCAGTCCCAGGTCCAATTCCCAGTTTGTCATATAGGAGGGTTTTGTTGCCGTGTATTGTGTAAGAAGTGTATTGTAGCAGAGGGATAGTGCTTTCACTTTGGGAAGCTTCCCCGTACATTTATGTACAAATGGTGATATGAGATTAGACTCTTTCAAGATAATCCTGCTTTCCTGTATGATATTCTTTAGTCTCAGATAGGTGAATAGTTCCCTGGATGGAATATGAAAATCCCTGACCATGTCAGGGAATGGTTTGATACCCTCTTGGGTCAACAAGGAACGTACCCCAGAGATCCCCCGGCTAAGCCAGTTTTCTAGCTGCAGGTTTGACGTATGGGCAGCCAAGGCCTGAAGTGGTGCTTCAAGGAGTAGGTCATTCTCCTTGAGGAGTCGAGGGGTAGTTTGCCTCCAAGTCTGGAGCAATGTCCCCGTGGTTGGTAACAGGTTTTTGGGTTGTAAAGGTGTTGTGCTTGCCCAGAGGAGCATTGGAATCGTGCCGGTGGACAGGCATGCGTTTTCCAACGCCAGCCAAACCGGAGGGGACTTCCTCTCAAGGATCGTGATGCCTTGTGCCAATATTGAAGCTTTGTGGTATAGTTTTATGTTGGGAATGCCCAGTGAATGATCGCCAAAGTGAGTTTTGTGCTATTCTTGGGGGTTTACGCTTCCAAATGTGTGCATTAATCTTGGCCTGAAAGTTTGTCAGTATCGAGTTCGGGATAGTAATGGGCAGGGTGCGAAAGAGATATAGAATATGTGGTAAAATCATCATTTTTACGGTGTGGATGCGGCCAAGCCAGGAGATTTCTTTGTCCTCCCAGGACTTGAGCTGTTGATCTAGTCTATGTAAGAGCGGTGTGTGGTTTTCCCGTATTGTCATTGTGTGTAAAGCTGGCATTTTTATGCCCAGGTACAAGATGGAGGATTTCTTCCAGTCAAATGGGTACAGTGTTTTGAGGTGTGAGAGAAGGGTGTGGGGCAGCCCTAGCGCCAACGCTTGTGTTTTTTTGGCATTATTTTTGTAGTAAGACAATTTTCCATACCTTCCTAAGAGTGATAGCAAGTTTGATATAGATGCCTCCGGGTGTGTTATGAAAAGGAGAACATCGTCTGCGAAAAGGGCTATTTTTTGCTCCCCTATTGGTGTTGGGAGGCCCACAATATTTTGGTCAGATTTAATATGTCTGATTAGGGGTTCCATACATAGGATAAAAATTAGAGGAGAGAGCGGGCACCCCTGTCGGGTACCGTTCGTTATATGAAAAGGTTGTGACAAGAATCCGGAATTGAATATTTTGGCTGACGGTTTGGAGTATAGGACCATTATGCAATTCAGGAACTCTGGTGGGAAGCCCATGTGCGTCAATACAGACCGCATATATGTCCAGTTCAAGCGATCAAACGCTTTTTCCGCGTCTAGGGCTAATAGCAAGCCCTTCTGGTTAGTGTTTTGGGCCCAAGTAATTAAGTTTAAAAAGTGGCGCGTGTTGTCCCCAGGTTGCCTATTCGGAACAAAGCCTGCCTGTTCCGGGGAGACCAGATCCTGTAACATGGGTTGGATGCGTGTGGCTAGTAGTTTGGCATATAGTTTTGTGTCAGCATTCAGCAACGAAATAGGCCGTAAATTGGCGCATTCCGTAGGGGGTTTGCCTGGCTTAGGGAGTGTAACAATATGGGCTAGCAACATCTCTTCCGGCATGGAACCTGAGTCCCCAAAGGAGTTGAAGAGGTCCGTGAGGTGTGGTGTGAGTTGCGCTTCGAATATTTGATAAAAGCGGTTGGGAAATCCATCTGGACCCGGGGCTTTGTGTTTGGGTAATTTAAGTATAGCTTGGCGCACTTCATCTTCCGTGAACTTAGCTATCAGTGTCTGTCTTTGATGTATAGACAGGCGTGGCAAATTTGCCTCGCCCAGAAAGGTATCTATGTCAGCTGCTATTGGTTGGTGTAGTGATTTATCTTGTGTAAGGTTATATAGGTCTTTGTAGAAGTTTGCTAATTCGTCCACTATGTCCTGCGGGTTAAATAGTTTTGTACCCGTGGCCGTAGTCATGTATGGGAGTTTTGTTTGTATATAACGCGATTTTAGACGGTTTGCTAGCACCTTGCCTGCCTTATTTCCATGCATGTAGTAAGTCAATTTCAGTTTGCGTAGTTGCCTTTCCATAGTGGTTAGAGACAGTGCATGTATCTTCCCTCTTGTCTGTTCAATCTGTCGGGACAGTAATCTAGATGGTCTTACTTTATTAGCCCTTTCTAATGTCTGGAGCAGTGCAGTTAGTGTATCATTTTCGTTATAAGCTTTCTTTTTTCGTATTGACCCCGCTTGTATTAAGAGACCTCTGAGTACAGCTTTGAGGGCCAACCATTTGGTGCCTATACTGGAAGGGTCTGTCTGATGATTTTCGTAAAACGTATGTATATTCCTGCGTATTTTGGTGGCCGTGTCAGTGTCATCTGTGAGGGATTCGTTCAGACGCCACGCACTCCGTCCTCTAGCTGGGTATAAGGCCCTGAACGTGGTGATTATTGGCGCATGGTCAGACCAAGTTCTGTCACCTATTTGTGCTTCTATAACATTCGGGATTGTGCTTTTGTCTACCCAGCACATGTCTATGCGCGAGTAAGTGTGGTGTACCTGTGAAAAGTAGGTGTAATTATTCTCGGTCGGGTAGAGTGAGCGCCATGTGTCATAAAGGTCGTTCGTTTGGAGCAATTTGCTGAGATTGAGGCTCATAATACTAGCTTGCTGGAGCGGTTGTTTGCCTTCTATACGTTTGATGTCTAAATTGGGGTCCAGCGTGCAGTTTAGATCCCCACAAATTATGGTGTGACCCTCTCGGAGGCTGGATATTTTGTGTAACGCACGTTTTATGAATGCAGTTTGTGAGTTATTGGGTGCGTATATGGATGCTATTGTCAATTGCATGCCATTCATTGAGCCCACCACAACGAGGAGTCTGCCTAGCTCGTCTCTGTATGTATTGGTGAGTTGGAACACCCAATCTGCGTGGAACAGTATTGCCACCCCTTTAGTTTTGGTTGGGGAAAGAGCATGATACACTTGATGGTATTTAGAAGATGTTAGAGTGGGGGGATTGGTCTTACACATATGTGTTTCTTGGAGACACACTATAGCTGCCTTTGATTTGTGCATTGCCCTGATCACTGAGCTTCTTTTAAAGGGACTATTTAGGCCATTTACGTTCATGGAAAAGCATTTAAATTGGTAAGCCATTAATAATATGTGGGATGTTGCATTCTCTCATCGTGATACGGAGTTCGTATAAGTACTGACCTCTCGAACGAGTACAGTCTACTGGGTACCTGAGTGTGCCGTAATGGTTGTTGGATTTTTGTGTATGCAAAATTTATCTCTGCTGCCATAGTATTGGGTAGGGGGGTGGCAGGTATAAAACAGGGGAAACGGAAAACTAAAAACATAAGTATATACAATGACTCTCGACCTTGAGAGTTTACATTGGAGTACAATATGGAGCCATCGTGCTCCACCATTGTAGGTCCTTTAGGGGGGTCGTGCGGAACTATACCGCACCCGGGCCAGACTTGACACATGTCTGCTCTGTTGCCTGCAATCATCATGGGGATTTGGGAGCCAGGACAACAATTCCATTATCGTCCACTGTAGGACTGGACGGCATTGTTGCGAAAGGGGTCTAAGATATATGGGTCGCAGCTTCAGGGACTGTGTGCTTTTTTTTTTTTTTTCTTCCTTATCCATTCGGTTATTTTCGTTAATCTCTTAATAGTTTTAATAAACCTTAGCTATAGCATATCGGGATCGCTCGAACCCACTCCCAGCCTGTGTAGGACGCTTCCCCTGCCTGTGGTGTGTGCGCTATTGGCAATTGGATCTGTTTTTAGATGTCAGTGCTATACAATGGTGACCCAGCTAGCGTAGTATTGATATCTGGATCGTAGTTAACCGGTACTTTGCCCTCCCAATGTGGGGTACCTTCCCATACATAACATCAACACCAATCCGCCCCTATTGGGATTATCACATTGTGTGCTAAACACATTTTCCAACCAGCGGAGTCCTTAGGCAGGCCAATGCATTTAGCCCCAAATATTACCCTCCAAGCATTACACATAGCAATTAGCTTTGCATAGGTTAGCGCTTAACATTGTGGGGACTCGCGTCAGCGTCTTCACGGGTCTATGTGATTTGCATGGGCATTAAATCGGATAAGGCTCAGTAGAATGAGGGAGAGTAGTAAGTTGGTCTCTAGTGTCGTGGCATTATTACTAATGTTATATATATATTTTTTTTTAATTTTTTTTTAATTTTTTTTATTTATAGTTTGAACATCTTACTGCTGAAATTAGTTGCACTGACGCGAGCCCCCATATAAATACCACTGTCGGTCGTCGGTGTCTCCGACTCCTTCCATTGCCTCAAGGCATGGGAATGGCTGGAGCGTGGATCCCACAGAGAACAGTTTCTAGGTAATGTCCTGAACGACTGCTGCACCCTCAGTTAGTCTGTCTTCCTTTAGCGGTGTAAGGCATTGTTGTGAATGTGGTTCCCTGGCTTGATGACACTATGTGGATCGCTGGTGAGGGGGTTCTCCCACCATCTTCCATTCGGGACGGGTCTTCTTCACTGAGGTCCCTGCAGTCGCCGTCGGATGGTCGATCTCCGGTGTGTTCCATAGGCCCCAGCTTTTCAGCGCGGACATACCTTCTGATGGGTCAACTATAGTGTGAAGCTTGTTGTTCCGCCATATTAACAGTTTAGTGGGGAAACCCCATCTATAAGCCTGATCATGATTTCGCAGAGTCTTGGTTATGGTTGAGAACTCTCTTCGCCTGGCCATAGTTAGAGCTGAGAGGTCGGCATAGATTGAGACCGAGCTATATGGTTCGGGTAGCGTTGGCTTAGCTCTGGCTGCTTTTAAGAGTGCCTCTTTGGCCTTGTAATAATGAAAGCGCACAATAATGTCGCGCGGAACTTCTGCCCCCAACCTAGGTGGCTTGGGTAGGCGGTGGGCCCTGTCCACTTCCCAGGAGAATGCGGGATCGGGGACCAACGCAGCACTTATTACTTTTATGTAGGCTGGAATCTGGTCTGCTGTGGTGGATTCCGCCACCCCCTGAAATCTTACATTATTCCGTCGGGAACGATCCTCCATGTCCGCCATCTTGTGCCACAGTTTAGTATTATCGTCTTCTAGTTTCTTTAATTTGTCTGCCATTTCATTGTGTGCTGAGCACAGGTCTTCTGTCCTCCGTTCAACCTGATCTGTGCGGTCTCCCAATTCTTCTAGTTCCTGGTGTAAACCAGATATGGCAGTCGTAAAGTCTTCTCTTATTGTGGCTCTCAGCTCCATGAGCATTGATTTGAGGAAGTCCTTTGAGATTTGGCAATCCTCTGTAGAGTGGTGTGGGGACCCCTCATTAAGGGCATCAGGCTCTGGGGATTGCGCTCTGCTACCGGCGCCATCTTGGGCCTGTTTCTGCCG